TTTCGAGGTATTTCGGGGTGCTCATTACGAATATGGCACTCATTTCTGAATCCAAGATGGCGTGCACGACTTTTGGACCAATAAATAAACATTGACTATTGACTACCAACTTCTAATAGGTAAAATAAACGAGTCCTGGAATTTAGTACCGAAGGACAGTTAAACAGACGATTTTTTTGTGATAATTGATCGACAATTCATCATTCTCAGACACTTGGCAACTGAAGGAATTATCTCTCGACATTTTTCCACAATGGCGCTGCTACAAGTGTCACCGCGTGCGAACTAGTTAAGCACAAATCCAGTCGTGTCTCTCATAAACTCGCATGGTTCTTAAGGCTAATTACAGGCCTCTGCGGCGCCGCAGTTGTATTCGCCCTTGCATTTGTATACACAGTTTCATACACGCTTCGCGTCTTTGCTTGATGCAGCGGCAGCGGCGACAAGCGTTGCCGCAAATCTGTACAAATTTACGAAATTTAGTAGCTGACACCGGATGGGCTGCATTTGCACCGCTGGTGTTACGGCCGTAACTCTTGAGGCGCCACAACACCAAAAAACGCCGCGCGCGCGCCGCCGCGGCGCTTGTGTCGCCAACCTATCAGTCTCGTAGTAACATTACAAATTGCAGGTAAGAAAAGAAGAACTATCAGAACTGCGCGTGCTTCAGGAAAACTACTGCCAAATACGGATAGAAGACGAAGAAGAAGACATACACTGGAAGATAAACATTCTGCTGCAGACATTCCTGTCACGCGGGCGCGTCAATGGATCCTCGCTGCAATCGGATCTTAACTATATCACTCAGGTAAAACTTGATTCTGCCGTTTCGTCATCGTCGATCATTAGGCTAAACTTAACATTATTTGTATTTAAAGTTACCTCACAAATTTAAAGAACAATTTATCAAATGGCTGTGCAAGCGAACAATACAATCCTGTTAAAAAATCCAATCAGAAACGAGAAAATCGTACTTATATGAAAATTAAAAACTGCACCGATTTCAAACACACATGGGGAAATTATCTCAAATCATTAATCATCTTCAACAAACGACGTCACGCACAAAATTGGCTTCAAAATTGTAATACATTTCTTTTTGCATCTACTTAAAATTTGTGTCATATTCTGGCAGAACGCTGTGCGCATAGTCCGGGCACTATTCGAAATAACACTGCGCAAAAACAACGCATACATGGCGGCTTTGTACCTAAAAATGGCGAAGATGCTAGAACTACAACTGTGGGACTTCCATAGCGACATGCGGCAATTCAATTGTTTCCCCAACGAAATCTTAAAACATATAGAATATCCTATGTTGAGACCTGATCAGATTAGAGAGATGGATTGGCGAGAGCTTGGTAAGTATTTCGACTGAAAATAAAATTTATTTTTACTCTGAAATGCTGGCGTTAAAAATGTTCATTTTTCACATCAATGCGATTGCGAGGGTTGTAGATAAAAGAAGAATAATTTTTGTTTAAATAACAGACCGACTGAGGTACACAACGAGCTTGCAGCTCTTATCAAGTTGAACACAAATTGTATGATTGTTACAGTTGAATTTACAATGTACCAGTATAAAATTTCAGTATCAGCATTACGTAGCTTCAATTTTGTGTTTGATTTTACTCTTGCGGTTCTTGTTCAAAATCCCAACACCGGGGAAGAGTTTTCTAAAGGTTCATCCTCATATCTAACGACTCTGGCATATATTAATTTGGCTCAATAATCTTTTCCAGGCGACCTAATCCGGAACCCGAAAACAGCGAGGCAATTGAAAAAGTGTGCAGAAGAGTTCCCTCTGCTAGAAATGGAAGCGAGCCTGCAGCCCATCACCAGGACTGTGATGAAAATCCGACTCTTCATAAAACCCGATTTTAGGTACATCTACTAAAATCGTAACTATCTGTTTCTCTAAAGTACTAAAAAATAGTTATTTAAATTATTAATTTGTTTTTATGTTATTGAATAGTTCAGAAGTTGTGCTTCCAGAAAACGTATTATTTTTATAATAAATCATTAGAAAAAGTGTATTTTTAACTTGGTTTTTTCCTAACTATTCAGATGGAATGACAAGTACCACGGCAAAGCGCCCGAAGCATTCTGGATTTGGGTAGAAGACCCCGAATCGGACATAATGTATTATCACGAATATTTCCTTCTGGCAAAGAAACAAGTGAGTATCATTATTTCGTAGTTATAAGTAGGGGCTTTAGAGTATGTCTGTCTGCATCTGTCTTAGTCATCGCTTGATCGGATTTGCCAAAAAATTATATATATATATATATATAACACTGAAGGTTATCAGTTTCCACTGCCAGCCGAACACGCGGTCAGGGTAGACGTACCCCAGTTTTTTATCATTCATGGATAACAAAAGGTAATTACAGTATTACGGAAGCCAATGCTGCAATGCGTGTGTTGGGGTTGATCAATATCAACCGCAACAGTGCTCGTAACAACTAATTTTAATAAAACATTAGATCTTAACTCTACTGGTATACTAATATTGATCAAATAACATTACAGGTACTGTCAAGGGAACCACAAGAATTAATAATCACCATTCCAGTATTGGAGCCGATGCCACCCCAATATTACATCCGAGCTACGTCCGAGCGGTCAGTACGATCGTTTATTTATCATACATAACACATTATCAGAAATGAAACTTTGACATTATGCAGGGCGACCTCAAAAAGGTCTGCAACATTTTTAGATGGTGATTCTTTATTAATATACGAACAACTGTTACTATGGGTACCCCTCTGACATGTCGAATAAAAATCAATTGTTAATGCCAGACTCTATGTAAGGAAGACCTACATTTTTTCCGCGATTCCAGAAGGCGGCCTTAGTAAAAGTTGCTAGTTGAGCCTTTGACAATGTAACAGACGTTTAGCGGTCAACCTGTACAAGGTGAAAAGAGCCTAACAGATGGCGTTCTCGATTTCGGGGCGCTGATGTCAGTTATATGATAGCAGTAATAACACGACTTTGAATACCTATTTACTTTATTACAGGTGGCTCGGTTCAGAGAGCGTATTGCCTCTAACATTCCAACACTTGATTTTGCCCGAAACCCACCCTCCACACACGGGTATGCATACCACCAATAACTGAAAGAAAATTCATTTATAAAACATCTGTCAATAATTAATTATTTGTTCGCGACATATTCGCGTATTTTGTATTCATATCTAACTAATACAACGAGTTGCTAATTGTAATATAAATGGTAGGAAGAAAATGACATACACGTTTGTTATTCAACACCTTTTAATTAACTTGTTTTCCTTGTGTCATGTGGAAATACTATGACTAAAGTTTTCATTGTGCGATTTTAAATTTGCTAGCAGATTTTTTTCCATTAAAGATCCTTTGATTTAAACTTGCACGATTTTCACACATTATTTGATATTTAGGTCAGGTCTAATCGTCTATAAAACATTTTTCAATTGCCTCAAACTTTCCGACGTATTGCAACGTCCATGATCTCGAAGAGACTGAAGAGGCGGATATCAGTAATTTCTAGCCGTGCGAGTTTTTCTAACTACCCGCACTTGGTCTTCATTACTTATTTGTGCACTAGAGTTGTCACTAGACCGACATACGACACTCACGACACCCTAGTGCACAAATAAATAATGAAGTCTAAGTGCGGGTATTTAGAAATACTCACAGAGCTAGAATATGCCTCCTCCGCCTCGTCAGTTCCTTCGAGATCATGGACGTTGCAATACGTTCGAAAGATCCAGGTAATTAAAATGTGTTTTATACATGATTAAGTCCCAAACTAAAAATCAAATAATTGAAGATCCTATTGCACACTTAAATGAATAAATAATGTTGTTCCAGATCTTCGGTATCTCAGACCTTTACCAGTGCGTGCGTTAAAGAATCCAGCGTACGAGTCTCTATATAAGTTCACGCATTTCAATCCGATCCAAACGCAAATCTTCCACTGCTTATACCATACCGACAACAACGTACTTCTGGGTGCCCCCACGGGTTCCGGAAAGACCATTGTGGCCGAGGTCGCCATGTTTCGTGCTTTCAACCACTACCCTAATTGCAAGGTACTATGGTAACGTCATTAAATATCATACTAAGGCGATGGAAATAACTTTATTGTATACTGCTATATTTTATCATGAATACGTACGAAACGATAGTTAAACCAACGTTATATTATGTAATGAAATCTGTGGAATAAACTTTTCCTTACAGCTAGTGTTGGGTAATGGACAATATTCCATTTTGAAATTTACTTATTAAAAAAAAACAATTTTTCAAAACTTATTTTTCATTAAATAAATATTTTTCCACATTTGACACCTGTCAAAAGTTGAAGTTACTGAATGAAAACGATAGAGCCAACAACAGGTGGTGGTTTTTTCGCTGTTGTGAAATCATGTTAAATCTCGTTTTTGTCTAATCTAATAATAATCTAAAATAATAAATCTAAATAATATTCTGGCTTTTAGTAGAATATAATTATGACCCTTCGAAATTATATTTTTCCAATGTTTCCAATTTTTGAGGATTTTTTTCGTAGAAATTTCTACTATTTGAAAGTTTCGGAAAATTACCCAACAGTACTTCAGCGAACTGCCATTACATGCGATCTCTACAGTACTTACAATTGAATTTCTAAAATCTAAAATATCTTTAACTTTTGAAAAAAGACTCTCACTAATATTGTCAATGCGATGGTTAATTGCGAATTATATTATACTGAAATAGCTGAACAGATTTGAAGAAAATTTGTTACATAGTTAGTTTATAGTCTGCTTGACACAACGAATACTGTCAATGAAACTTGTAAATCTTTGAAAATATGTCTCACTGTTACCTGTCAGATACGAAAACAATAAACTTAAAAGACGAAAGGCAAAATACGTTTTTGTATAGCTGGCCATTTTATCAAAATGCACGGGTGCTAATAACATCACATTATGATGACGATACTGCGATTGTGTTTACTGGTGATACATGGGAGGGGGGTGCGTATTAATGCAAATTTGAGACTGGAAACGGTTGCTAAGTGGCTTAATGCTAATCTCCTTACATTAAATACTACAAAAACGAATTATTGCTTCTACATTCGCAACAGTATTCAACAAGACAAGGACTTCGTTCTTAAAATTCCCAACTGTGACATCGTCGGCAAAGACTGTGTTTGCCCAATCATTGTTAAGGTTGATAAAACTAAGTACCTCGGTGTTGATAACAGCGTCATTTATCATGGTACCCTCATTTACTAATTAGGAAAATATCTGGATTTTTAAAACGCTCAGGCACTCTGCAAATAAAATTCTGATAACAAAAATCTATATTGCCTTAGCTCAATCAGTACTAACATACTGCATCCCAATCTGGGGTGGAGCTGTTCATACGTTTAGAAAGAGCTCAGAGATCACTACTGAAGGCAATGTATTTCAAACCCTATAGATATGCCACTGATGACCTCTATAAGTTTGCCAAAGCCCTGATAGTGCGAAAATTATATATGTATACTTCAGCCCCCTTAGCATAGCTACGCATGATAGTCACGACGCGCGCGATAAAATTGGAATAAACGCGCGCTATTGGCTGTCTCAATCAGAACTAATTCCATGCGTAGCCATTCTACGGGGCTGGTGATTTTAAGGATCCACAAAACTCAAAGTTATGACCCTTGCATAGTAAAAAAAGGATGTGCTATTTTGTGATTTCCTACTATACTTTAAAAACAACCTTTGCTAGTAGACAATTTAACAGACGTGCACCTGTACACTAAAATTAATAAAAATCTCTTAATTTACCCTCATAGATCCACGATTGGAAAAAAGTTGTATATGACTGGTCAAAGTCAAAGATTATTTTTTCCATAGGTAAAATAAATTTACACTTGAAAACGTCACATTTAAGCTACTGCTCGTTCACTACGCTGACCTTCCTGAGAAGAACAAGCAAGAAACTCTAGGGATGCTCTTTTCAAATAAACTTAAATGCTATGGAATACACTTTGAATCAAATTTGTGTGGATTCTGGAGCCATGTCGCCTTTCCATACATCTTTATCCAACACGTAGTCTTCAATTTTGTAATATAATTTTTCGATCAAAATATTTTTAATGTAGTTTTTAAACTTAGGAAATGATAAACTTAATATATGCTCCGGAATCTTATTGAAAAAACGTATACAGTTCCCCATAAAAGAGTTGTTTACCTTGGCTAAACGAAATCGTGGTACCATGAATTTGGACTTGGGACTTGGAATTGGGACTCGTTTTTGCAATACAAATATGGTTTGAATATTTGCCGCTTTACCCCACATGAGAATCCCGTAGGACATTATACTATGGAAATAACTGAAGTAAACTAGTCTAGCAGTACTAACATCGGTAAGCTCACGTATTCTGCGGACTGCGTATGCAGCGGAGCTTAATCTGCTGGCCAGAGACGATATATGTGGAAACCATTGAAGTTTACTATCTAAGGTCACTCCCAAGAAGACTGCTTTATTAACAAGGTCTAACTTTTCTCCGTTTATTTCTATGCTTGAACTAGTCGATTTTACGTTAGATAATTCAAATTTAACACATTTTGTCTTCTTGGCATTAAGCAATAAATTGTTAGCATTAAACCAATAAACTACCTTAGAGAGGGTATCATTAATATGGTCATAGTTAATGTCATGTCTGTCTGTTTTAAAAATCAAAGATGTGTCATCAGCAAACAACACTATTTCACAATGGTCCTTAACAAAGAATGGCAGACTGGCAGCAGACTTTAAATTATGAACGGATTGAATCCCTTATGGACATCTCACAATAGACGTATTGTACTCCTACATATTTTGCAAATTTATTTGGTACCTGTAACTTAACTAGTCTTAACTTACCTGGTCACATAGAACTTCGCCTAGCACATACAATTATTATTATTTTACTTAAATGGAGTCTCGCAGCAAACTTGCTGTAAACTAGATTTAAATGAACGTAAATAAACACTTTTTTTTTGTTATTTCGTATATTTATAGGTAATTTCGTTAGTAGAGTATAATATTTAAGGGGTAGAAGACTTTGTAGAATAACCTTTCTAAGTTATATTTTGGAAGCACAGCTATAAGGAGAATTTAATAAAGCATTTGTTATTTTCAGGTTGTATACATAGCGCCTTTGAAAGCGTTAGTCAAAGAGAGAATCAAAGATTGGAAGGTGCGCTTAGAAGGAAACCTTGGAATGAACGTTGTTGAATTGACAGGTATGTCATGAAATACAAATTGCGTCTAAACTACCAATAAGATTAAGCTATTGACGCTTGGTGATTAGGTGATAACAAATTCCTATTATTATAGTTATTTAAATAGATTTATTCCCTTCTCCGTTTTGGCAGTTGTAGTCCCTTAGACTTTGGATCTTTAAAGCTCCACAACAATACATGAGTTCATGTCTCATGACAATACAAATTAAGAACATACTAAAAAACCCATCAACTTTTTTCTAACCATTAATTCAATAATCACGAAAGTCCTGAAATGTAATGTAGGAATAAAATTGTCAGTAAATTCTCCTCACCTGCTTAGCTTATATAGGCTAGGAAGTTTTGAGGTTTGCATGCTATGAAATAACCTATTTTGTTTTGTAGGTGATGTGAGCCCGGACATTCGTGCTATACGGAATTCGCGTGTAATAGTGACAACACCGGAGAAGTGGGACGGCATCAGTCGATCATGGCAAACCAGAAAGTACGTACAGGACGTGTCACTCATCGTAATCGATGAAATACATCTGCTGGGCGAGGATAGAGGACCCGTGCTCGAAGTAATCGTCTCAAGGTTAGTGACAAGTTCATGACTAAGCGTCAGTACTTTTTTCTGCGGTGGGATGAGATATAGTTATACATTAGGTCAAAAATATAATACAATTATTGTATTTCTCTTCACAATATTTTTGTCGGGTATGTCTATTGTATCTAGTCAGTTGAAATTTACACTCACAGGTGTCACTCTTTTTTATTTCAACAAAAGCTCCATGGAGACATTATTTTATTACCCGACTTCCAAAACGGAGTAGGTTCTCAATTCGACTTTCTTTTTTGAATGCATGTTACGCGAATAATTAATAATAAGTAATAATAAATTAAGTAATTTTTGTTGGAAAGAGGATAAATGACTTTTGAGGTGGGCTTTTTAGTACTCTGTATTGAGATTATATAAAAAATTAAAAACGTATAACATGTAATTTTTTGTGTAGACAAATTAACTTTAGAAGTAACGATAATCGTATACGGGTTACGTGCTGTTAAGATTGTAGTGTGAAACTACGAACCCCCTATCATCTTCATCTCTCTCATTATACGTTTTCTAGGAAACGCCCTTACTTTCCTTCTTCCTAAAAGAGTTCCAAGTAATATTTACTATAATAATAGTGTCTAAATTACTTAAATTTGCTATTGTAAGCTATTTCTCGCACTTTGACAATTACTCACCTTTCATGTCTGATCTCCCGACCTTGGCATATTCTATCGCACTGATAGAATATGCCGAATTTTATTTTAATCCGAATTTTGCTATTCGTTATTCCAATGCTAATTACGTACTATTTCATCAATTTCACTTGATAAACATGTTTATTTCGTATTTACAATTTTTTTTATATGTTGACATTGATTGACAGATATGTTACCCCTCTTCAATCTATTCTTCCATAGATTATCCTATAAATTACTCATTGATATGCAATCTTAGCAGTAGAAGCGTTTCAGCTTCTAGCCGCTCACATTTTGGCTCCTCATTTCAAATTCAAAATTGGCTATTCGAATTTCTGTGCTCTCTCACGTTCTACCTAAACGCTCGTCATTTTTGTGCCGACCTTGGAGGCATCTGGTCTTCATATAGATCTAGTAAATATACAAAGTCTCACCTTTTCGAAGCCCTACACCTATCCTTACTTCCACTGCGCTTACGCGCCTACCTGATGACTAGTTCCTCGATTGCGTCACGTTTACGCTCCTCCTACCTGGACTGTGTGAAGGTGAGCACCAAGCGAGTTTGGAGCGGCAGGAGTAACTGAAACCGACGCTCAAGATGAAGTAGTACTCCACCTCCGAGAACGAAGTGATATAATCCACTGCTTCACTACCACCGCCGTTTCGTCGTCATTCCTCGCTGCTCTTCGGTTCTGCACGTCGGTCCTCAGTCACCAAGAGTCGAGGGCAGAGGCCTTCAACTCCGTGTCTCCATCTTCTCCTATATTCACCTTCACACTTACATTGCTCACTCTACCACGTCCTAACACTCTCAATTTCTTTCTGCCCCGACTTTTTAGCTCTCCACCCCCACAAGGTAACTTTTAAAAACTAAAAATATTTTTGAATTTGTACAGAGCTAACTTCATAGAATCGCACACGTCACGAAAGCTACGTATTATCGGCTTGTCAACCGCTCTGGCCAACGCAGTCGATCTTGCCGATTGGCTCAACATAGGCAAAATGGGGCTTTACAACTTCAGACCTTCGGTGCGACCTGTACCGTTACAGGTATGTAATAATAAACATCTTTATTGGTTTTTTTATTAATCATCAATTCAAATCTTAGGGTCGTATTCTAGAACTCTACTCAATGCTCAAGTCAGGATTGCACTGGAAATACGACCCTAATGGCAGGGACTTGAGTATGATTTCTAGTGCTTTGAATCATACTCAAGTCCTGACTTAAGCATTGAGTAGAGTTCTAGAATACGACCCTTACTCTCTTACACAGAATGTTGCGATGAAAGAATATTTCATATAAGTTCAGCGCTGACTAGCAAACGAAAAAGTGGTTTACACAATACCAACACTAGAGAACGCTGGTGTGTCTGTGATTCTGGCGCTGACTACTACGTCAATGAAAATCCATTTTATGTGTATGGTCGGCAGATTCACGTCTCTGGATTCCCCGGACGGCACTACTGTCCGCGCATGATGACAATGAATAAACCCACCTTCATGGCCATCCGCACACATGCGCCGTGCGCTCCCTCCCTGGTCTTCGTCTCCAGTAGACGACAGACAAGGTACGTGACAATTTAAGCATCGATTTTATTGCTGCGGCGAACGCCTACGTCACAGTGATAACTGCCTCCGTGGCCGAACGGTTACCATGCTGCAACTGCAACGCAGAGGTCCCGGGTTCGATTTCCGGGCCGGAATAAATATTTGTATGGCCTACATTTATTTCTCTCGTGAGTATGGGTGTAATTTGTGGTTGTCTATACAGGGCACCCGCGATATAGGGTTTCCCTAGTGCGGAGCTATGAGTGCGTGTTATTATTATTATTATTATTATACAACGTGATTCTTTATCTCGTTCTATAATGATATGAAGGACCCGGAAAAAGAACGAAGTGACGTTATCAAATCGTTTGATGATACTTAAGGCGCACTATAAGTGTCCGGAATGAATAAGAAAAAAATACTATAAATGGTCAGAAATGAATTTATTGTTTCTCAAAATATTCTCCGTTAGCGTTAATGCACTTTTTTTTTAAAACACTATGCAATCCTGCCATTTATGACAATTTCTGAAACATATTTTTCATACCCTTCGACAGCCTCTTCAGGTGACGAAAATCGTTGACCGCGTAACTGGTTCTTAATTTTTGAAAATAAATAAAAGTCAGAAGGTGCCAGGTCGGGACTGCACGCGGGATGGTTCATAAGATCAACGTTGTTCACCTTCAAAAATTCACGATGAAGATGAAGAAACGATGATACGGCATTTACGGTTACTTTTACGGAGTTTTTCCCTAACTTCCGGCAAACAAATGGTCGTGTACCAATCACTATTCCCGGTACAAGGATTCTCCAAAGCAACAGTAGCCACATGTCCAGTTTTATTTAAAAAAGAAGCAATCATCCGCTTAGAGGCACTTTGCACGCGCGCCACTTTGGTTGGTTTCGGCTTATCTTGAAAGACCCATACGCTCGATTGCTGCTTTGTTTTGGGATCGTAATTATAAATCCATGTTTCGTCACCTGTTACTATGTCCCACACCAAATTTGACACTCCTTCTTTGAATCTGATAAGCATGGCATTGCACCAAGTGACGCGATCCGTTTTTTGAGCCTCAGATAAATTGTGTGGGATCCACCGAGAGCACAGCTTTTTCACACCCAAATGTTTGTGTAGTATGAATTGTATTTAACTCATGCCTATGCCTAAAGATACCCGAGGTATGTCACACGCCTGTCTGTTTTGATCATACGGCGCACAACATCGATGTTTTTGTTGTTCACACCATTGGACGGGCGACCATCACGAAATTCGTCACTGAGATTCACACGACCGCGTTTGCATTCTGCAAACCAGCTATAAATAGTCGTCTTGTACGGTGCTTCATCGCCAAAAGCAGTTTGAAGCCAAGCGAACCTGCGCTGAGCTCTTAAATTACACTTAAAGTCGTAGAAAATCATACTACGAAAATTTTTACGAGTTAAATCCATGATGACGTAGACAACCAAGTTCTAAAATGACGCCACAATGTAAAAACAAGTGACAGTCAGATGAAACAACCTATATTCTACAGCCAAAGAGTTCCATTTTCAAACGTTGTAATTACTTTTTAAATATTGTTTATGTAAATGGCCAGTTCCGGAAACTTATAGTGCGCCCTGTGTAATTTGATGAGCTAGTTTAGAATGTGTTTTTTTTTTGTATTTATTGTATTTAAGCGCTAAGAGGTCGTCCTTTCCCGATTTTAGTAGATACTTGTAATAAAAATTAAATAAAGAATAGAAAATTACTTACGCTTAAGCGTAGATTATAAGGCTTATAATGAAATTCCTTGTCTTAATAAGGATGCCTTGATTAAGAATGTCTTTAAAAGCATATAGAGTATTCAGTGTGTTCTTAAGTTAGATATTATTCGTAACACATATAAAATTATTTCTAGGCTCACAGCATTGGACCTAATCGCATATTTAGCCGCCGAGGAGAACCCGAAGCAATGGCTTCACATGCAAGAACATGAAATGGAGCAAATCTTAGCACACATCCGAGACTCGAACCTGAAACTCACGCTGGCCTTCGGCATCGGGCTCCACCACGCCGGGTTGCATGAGCGTGATAGAACCACGGTGGAAGAGCTCTTTGTTAACCAGAAGATTCAAGTAAATATTATGTTTTATTTTGATAAAATAAACGTTTTGATATTTCCAGATTGACTAAACTACTGCACTAGAAAGTAAATTAAAGGAAATTTCGTCCTGGATTAAAAATAATAATTACGTATTAATTCTTGAAACATTATTAGAGGTAAATTTATGAAATTGCTGTCATAAAATTCAGACCACTGTGAAGTGGAAAATTCAGATTTGAAACTATTTAAAGAAATATGTTTATACATGTTTACTCAAACCTTTCACGTTATTCATTGGTTTTCATTTAGGTTAATTTTGCATTCACTGTGAAATCAAACATGGACACAGCTGTTGTTGTTGCTAAAATTCGTACAATTTGTTTATACTATTCCGATATGGCATTCAACTAACCGATTCAACTAACGAACGCAATTGCTTTTCCCAATTCAGCAATGCAAATTTTAACTGGACAAATTAGTCTCGTGGATAACTAGTGTCCATAATGACTAGTTAAAGGCTGTTTTTAAAACCAATTCAATGCAGACTTTTTGTAAATTAGTAATACGATTATAAGTAACTACACCTATAATACCCGCAATACAACGACCAGCTTGCGTTGATACTTGTATTAATGGCACAGAGGTGATTCTTTGTGGTAGTTGCAAACGATCCACACAGTGGTTAAACGTTGAAAGCAAACCAAACTGTGTCCAAAAAAACACCCTCGAATAATTGTTTGTGTCTGTGGTGATCCAGTCGCGGAGTAATCTGTCATAGCTTCCTCATATCTGGTACAACCGTAACTACTGATCGCTATTGTGAGAAATGAGAACCAAGACCCTTTGACTGGACGAACAAGTCGTGTGCCTGATGGTAAACTACACGCGTGTCCATAACAGTTGCTGTGCCAGTCAGAGCTTTGAATCGCAAAAATCTGAGGGGCACTGCCACTACGCTCGTCAGCCTGGTACATACGTTGACAAGTCCCATGTGCCTATAATTTCACCAGACATTACTGCTTGGCGGCAGAAACAGGTTAGGTGGCAGTAGGTACAAGGTACCCAGGACGAACTCTTTCACAAGGAACTCTACTACTACTAAAATTGTAGATTCGCGTTCTCCACTATTCTATAGCAAAGGAGTAAATGGGCTTCCAAAAAAAAAAAGACAGAAGTGTGATGAGTAGTGATGACATCTTTCATCCATAAAGACTTCTTGTAAAATACTAACAACCACGTCAAACTAAACAACTTTTGTTCCACGACTTTTTTTCAAATCACAATAAAATTAAGTAAAAACAATTGGAAAGGCCGGACGGAGAGAAGAACGACAACTTGGAATTTTGTATGAATTTATTACGTTTCTGCAATTAGTTTTAAAAATGTATGTAACTAAAAATTATCATGACGTGCGGGTTGGGCCGCGATTGAAGGAAAGTGGCGCGTGCCGGAGGGCGCTGCGCTAGCGCGCACGGCCGTGGCGGGCGACACGTGAGACGAGGATGCGGGGCGAGGGCGCGGGGCGCTCATTGTTGCCGCATTAACAACAAATTTTAAATTTTTGTGATCTGTATTTGGTAGCAAGGTAGTAGTCCAAAACGAGCAAACGTCCTCCCTAACTACCCCGACCGCCGCTCCTTCGTTTTGCATCGGATTGGTATTTAAGCTAGTTCTTTCTTTTCTTACCGCACAGACTTATCAGCGTTAGTCGTGGAACAAAAGTTGTTGTTTATAATGTATTTTAGTAATATAGTCCACCGAGGTTGTTAATATTTTGCAATTAAACCTGTATACACTGGCAATTTAATACTATCTTATTTGTGGTAATCAGGTGCTGATATGCACTGCAACGCTGGCGTGGGGCGTGAATTTCCCCGCGCACCTGGTCGTTATCAAGGGCACTGAATATTACGATGGGAAGCAGAAGCGCTACGTAGACATGCCCATCACTGACGTGCTTCAGATGATGGGCAGAGCAGGACGGCCGCAGGTAAACTAACTGTTATTCGTACTCATACATACGTCCACACAAACACACGCGCGCGCGCACACGCACACACACACACACACACACACACACACACACACACACACACACACATTAGACGACATTTTTGTAAGAAATATATAAGTATTTTCTCTATTCCGTTAACAGTATGACTACATGGGAGTAGCAGTGGTGCTAGTCCACGAACAAAAAAAGAATTTCTACAAAAAATTCTTTTACGAACCGTTCCCCGTCGAGTCCAGCCTGCTTGAAGTGCTGCCCGAACATTTGAACGCCGAAATTGTTGCTGGTATGTTTTTAAAAACTGACCAATTTGGTACATATTTACTTAATTTTGTTTCATTACTTAGCCAATCAATGTCGTTATATATTTTTGAAAGTAAATAACGTGTACATGTTTTTCTATAATAGTTATTTGCTTTCGACTGCACTGGTTTACCTGTCTTACTCTTTTAAAACCATAAATACCTTAAAGAAGTTTAAAAACCTTAAATTATGAACTTAAACCAGCCAAGTTGTGCTCATACACTTTGCACTGTAGACAACTCACTACTGACAGGTTTCTTGCACTCGACTTGACGTGAAACAATTACCGTAACAAAAACACGCAGTCATACCACGGTAATAAACAATTTTATTTCCTATTGTCTAGGCACGGTGCAGACGAAACAAGATATCCTAGACTACTTAACGTGGACATATTTCTTCAGGCGTCTGCTGAAGAATCCCTCTTACTACAGCCTCGAAAGCTTAGAGACAGAAGACGTCAATTATTATTTGTCTACACTTGTACAATCTGCTTTAGACGTTTTGGCCAATGCAAATTGTGTCGAGATTGAAGAGGTGAGCTTTTCTTTACACGGTAACATAAAAATGTCAAACTTGTTTCCACCATATGGTACAAATACTCATGATAACAAAGCATAGTATAAAATTAAACTTCCTCTAAAGGTGGATTTCGAACCACCACGTTTCAATCAGATTTATTTATTTATTTAAACACTTTATTGTAGTACCACAAAGTAAATTTCAAATTTTAAGACCAATTTAAAATATTAATGTACAAAATCGAGCTTATCCCATAAAGGGATTTCTTCCAAATAACCTTTATATATGCATGATGTGGCTCCCAAAAAACCTTAAAATCGATGCCAGGATCTTTTTGTTAGACTACCATACTATGTACATATACATTACTCGTATATGTATAAAAACTGAGAAGTTACTTGAGTCTTCATATGAATAGCAGTATTCAAAATATAATTAATCGGCCTATTTTTTCAAATAACGCTATTACATACACTATACATTTGTTGTTTTCAATCAGGACCAACGCACTGTGAACAGCACATGGATGGGACGGATTGCTTCATACTACTACCTATCGCACAAAACGATGGCACATTTCAGCGTCAATTTGCATTATGATATGGATATCGATTTGCTCCTGCGCGTGCTGTCCGACTGCGAAGAATACGCTACACTCCCCGTTAGGCACAATGAGGATGTCCTCAACGGGTAAGTTACGCCTGATAAAACTAATGCGCTGGACGTGCTTATATAAAACTGGAAACGTTCGTTTAACCAGAATTTGTTTTCAAACAGTAAATTATTTGACATGTCTCTGTATGTCAGGCTCGATTTCAAGCTAGACGGTTTGACCCGGGTTCTAGCTGGAACTGGAACTTTATTTATGATTTAAATCTAAAGGTTCGCCCTCATTAAGATTTCTGTAGTTGTTAAGAGGTGTTATTTAGTATTACTTATAAATTGGACGACGAGGTGGCACAGAGATTTTTATTTGTAATAAGTATTTGTTGTAAGATTGCATCAAAAAGTACTTCATATTCCTTACTTAGCACTTTATGCTCCTCAAAGAAATTTCAGATAGACCGCATTTTAAAATTGTAATTTTTTCTTGTCTTGTTCAAACTAGTTTTAATCGTAACACCAGCTGAAGAGTTGTTACGCTCTGTGTATAATATGTGTGCATATATATTATTTTGTAAATATAATGTGTTGCAGTGAATTGGCACAACAATGCCGTTTGCCGGTGGACCCGTTAACACTGGACCTTTCCAACGTTAAAGCATTCCTACTTCTGCAGGCGCATATGTCCAGATTGATGCTACCTAACTCTGACTACTTCACTGACACCAAATCTGTACTTGACCAGACTATCCGGATCATTCAAGTAAGGAAACTGCTGTATTAGACAATGACACCATTTACCTGATCTCGGACTAATTATTTTTACTAAGTACCACAAATGAAAATTGAAAATGAACAGAGGCAACATGATTTCTCTCAAAGTTAAAATGTCAGCCACTATCTTGTGCTTGTGTACTTAAAAACAAAACAAAATTTTGTTCCATTTCAGCTTTACATACCATAATGATCCTATGCATCAGGGATTTACGGAAATTACTCCGACCGTACTGTTTTATAATGATGTTATCTTTTGTTTACAGGCAATGATAGACGTAACGGCCGAGTACGGATGGTTGACTGTCTGTCTGTCGTGCCAAATGCTTATGCAGTGTATTATCCAAGCGCGGTGGTTGAGCGATTCACCCCTAACCACACTCCCATACATAGAATCACAGCACCTATACATGTTTCTACAAATGGCGCGAGACTCAAACAAACCCTGCACTCACCTGAACGGCCTCAAAATAGCTACTATCAATAACTACGAGTTGTTAGCAAAATATTTGAGAAAGGAGTTTGAAGAAAATCAAATAGCAGAGATCCATAAGGTAAATATGTCATTTTTGTTTTTCCTAACCCCATAATACATCTGCAGTATGTTCATTAACAATAACGCAATATATTAGTTAATAATTTCAATTTTGTTGATTATGTAGCACTCTGTAAACTGTTTGTTAATTCTCAATATTTTGTTTTATCAGCATCCATAGTCCTTTTTAATTGACTACAATTAAAAAAGTCTTGTATTTATGTATGAATGTATGTGCACGATTTATTCATGTTTTTCTTGTAACTTTAAAAAGTGTGGAAAGATTCTCACAAATTTGCTCATGATCAGAATTGTTATGTTAGAGCGAAGAGATGGTACAAAATGATTTACGTAGTTAAATACAGATGGATCCATCAGTAACATATCACATTTTTGTACTTAGGTAATCTGCAATTTACCAACATTAGATGTGAAACTTGCCGTGCGAGGGCTTTGGGTTGAAAGCGACTGCGAACAGGACAGGACGATACGACAGCCTGCGTCCAGTAGCAGCTGGATGCCATTACATGCTGACCAGGTAATTTGTCAACCCATATAAATAATGTTCCAATTTCGCACTGATCTCCTCAATGGACACCGTATTCAAAAATATTTACTACAACTTAAGGAAATCCTCTAGTTCGAAGAGGTCAATTTCTCTATTGATGGTCCATGACCAAGTGCAGTTTTGCACTTAAAATATTCTTCGATCAGTTCTGCAAACCTTTCCCAATATATTTACCCCGGCATAATAAAATGAATCAATCTTCACAGTAATAACACCACATTAACAAATAATTGAATGAATATATGAAATATTCTTTATTGCACATAAAATTACAGTTAAAATCATTGGTTAAAATACAATAAAGTAACTTAGGTATAAAGATATATAGAGTAAGATAATGTACAACAGGCGGCCTTATTGCTATATAGCAATTTCTTCCAGGCAACCTTAGGCTAGAAATTCGGGATATGCAAAAGGGAAAAAAATAATTGCTGTCAAGACACCGTTTTTATTAGTTACAATGAATGGGTAAAATATTTCATTTTTACAGGAATATACACTCTTAGTAGAAATGCGCCGTCGCGGGGGCAATTCCAGCAACATAGCTTGTTCACGATTTCCTCGATCGAAAAACGAAGGCTGGTTCATCACCCTTGGCACCGTTGAATATCGTGAATTGCACGCCTTAAAGAGGGTGCAACCAAGAGGGACGGCTCAGGTCACTTTCAACACTCCATCGCAAACGGGTCAGTACCAATCTGTTTTATTTGACCCAGTATAACGTTTTTTCATAATACCACCATTCTTCCATGGATATCAGAATATTGGAAAAGATATCGCGGATGGCCGAGAAAAATGTGAACTGTGGAAAAGGGACTATTGATGTTTTTTTTTTGAGTGGTTGGGCTTTGAAATATTAAGGATACTTTTTGAGAGCCTATGCACACGGTGTATGTCATACGCGCCGACGAATGACACACGTTAACGCGATTCAAACAGGATACAGTCGTCAGTAATCGTGTGCAAAGGCCTTTTATTATTATTTTTAAATAGCTTGTTAAAGCTTTCTAAAATAGTGAACAAAAAATATGTTTAGGTAGTAAATAGTTATATAAAAAAGTAAATTATATACTGCTAGAATCATGAAAAACGTGAAGTGGTCAGCCAACCTGACGTCAGAATGGCTGGCCACTTTATTTCTTTATTTCCATTAGAGCTAAGGTAGAAAGTATGTCAATAAAGGTACTAAATAGTAAAAAATAGGTTTGATATGTATATCCCGTTTGGTCCAGCCATCCCGACGGACACCAATGATTACTACTTTCCATCAAGTGGACTGTCTTACTGTTGGTCATATTAAATTAAACAAAAAATTTCTAAAAAAGCTATAATGACCTTTTACATTGCTGTACCGTTTCAGGTCGAATTATATACACAGTGTACATAATGAGTGACTGCTACATGGGCCTCGATCAGCAATATGACCTCCAATTTGAAATTGTGGATTCCTTGCCGCCGGAAACAGTGTCTACGGTATATGACACTATAGATAAGAAACACTTAAGAGAAAATGTAATTAAGCCGTAGTTTATCAATTTCCCATAACATACCTTAATTTATAAAATTGTTAGAAGTGTATGTAAACATCAATGTGTCAATCAGTCTACTACTTACTTAATTTTTATATTATATTTTTCTTTTCAATCAATAAATGTATAAATTAAAAATGTTTTTTCTTCTTCACAATAATTTAGTTCACTGTTTGAAGTAGAATATTCAAACAAATTTAATTGAGTTACATACAGGCATATGCCAAAGAAGCTGTTGTTAGTTTTCACCTGGCAAAATTTGAAATACATTTTACTACAATTTGAACAAAAATAATTGTATTTCGGCCTCAAACATTCAATAAGCCATTTTGGTTATTAGAACCAATTCCGCCATTTTAGAATTGGTTACTAGAACCAATTCAAAAATGGCTAGCTATCGCTGGTACTAAGAAAAGGAGGTTGTTAAGAGAATACACAATATGTATGTAACCCATGTTTATTCATAAAATATCAGTCTCTGTACCAACGACTTCAATCTATAGACAAGAACATTCATAGCAACTACATGTCCCAAACAAAACACTTAGTGTCGTTTTGTTTTAGAGTCGAATTTTCTCAAAGAGTATCAGTACCGTAGTATCGTGGACACTTGGACCGACGAACTGTCTATACCTATTGGGAATGAGCAAGGCAAGCAAATAATATTGAATGTTTACCAATGATATTTATCCACAGTTTAACTGCCTCTGTGGCCAAACGGTTACCATGCCGGACTGCCACGCAGAGGTGCCAGGTTCGATTCCCGGGCCGGGAGAAAAATTGTAAGACCTACATTTGTTTCTCTCGTGAGTTTGGGTGTAATTTGTGGTTGTCTATATGTGTCCATGGCACCTGCGACACAGGGTTTCCCTAGTGCAGGGCTATGTTGAGTGTGTTATTATAAAAAAAACAAACAGTTTTTACATACAACAGGAATTAACGTAAAGTCTGGCAAAATCGCTATTCGTTGCACAATACATTTTATTTTGCTTTGACTTAGGGGCTTTAGCTTAAGTATTTATAATTATTATATTACTAAAAAAAAACAAATTAAGCTAAAAAAATGCAGTTGGGTTGTTGAAATTATAATCTTTTTTTTATATTTTTTATTGTAACCTTAGTAACTGTTATAATCATATTATCACCGGTACTAACAATAATGATACCGTTATACCTCTCAGTTTAACCGTTCCCTCGAGGATTATAAGGTGTCGTATAACTCGTCGCTATAGATTTTTTATACAAGAATTGCTTGAGATCATCTGATAAGAAGGTTGCCCCACATACTTTATTATTGTGTAGCCAGGACACTCTGTTGCTTATTAATCTATGATTTGTTTTGTCTTGTTTTAAGATGCGTTATTACATGCTTACAAAACGAGATGGATAGTGTGAAATTTTTTACAGTATTTCGCAATTATCAAATATTATAATGCACAAATTCATCAAAACATTACTTACCGAATCAATGTGTATAATTTAAAACTTTAAATTTATGTTCACACAATTAGTTAAATAGTGAAATGTGAGCAACACACAGATTAAAATAATTTTAAGAGGACCGCATCGGCGTCAGACATCTTGAATGTTTGACAACCAACTAAATGATGTGTAGCGTCTTCACCGCATCAGTGAAACACGGCGTGTGTATGGAACGCCGCATCTAGTACGCTAGTAAGCTAGTACAGTCAAGAGCACATCAAGCTTGACACTTTGGACTTGGGCCCGTTCTTATTGCAAGCGCCATAGAGTTAAATTTAAACCTTTAGTGTCAAGCTTGACGTGCTGACGTGCCTGACTACACAGATATCGTTGTTCTGTACCTACTATTTGCAATTCTATTGTACAGATAAAAACTCAAAAATTGATAATAAATTGTTATAAAATTATTTCTAACATTTAAATAGTGTACTTAGTAACATGCATTAGCATGCATTATACAGATCACAAAATAACAATTGATGATTGCAGTGACGAAGTGCTGAGCAGCCCCTGAATGAATCCACTCTCAAACATCATATAAACATTTTACAATTTTAGCATTTTTAAATAAATTATTATATTTAAAAAATATTTTTAAATACCTACATTTAGCCTTACTTTCTAATAGACTCTAGTATCAAGTAACAACCGCAGTGACAGGCAAACAGTTTGATACTCTTAAATGTAACTTTAATACAAACTTTTTTAGACAATCAACCTAGATCTAGTCATAAGGCAAAAAGAAAAAAGAAACCTTAAACTTAAGGGGATGACATATGATGAAAAAACAGGTTGGAACTTGTATGAATACTGGGCAAAAATGTAGCTTAACAGATACAATAAAAAAAACTAAATTAAGACGACAATAGTTTAAATTCTTGATTAGTACCTAGCCTAAGCTTGTGAATGTTTAATAGCATTACCTGTCGCTAATGAAGAAAGAAAATATCAAAGGTTCACAACCCTCCGGAAACGGAATTGGGTCAACTCGCATTGGGTCAGCATAGAGGACTTGTTGAAAACAACTCTTTCTTCAGAATTGGTTTCATAACAACTGCACGTTTTTTTTAGTAATGCCATTCTAATTCCTGTCAATGTACACCTACATCTAGGTAGTAATTTAAAGTTGTTTTTTCCTGTTATATGTTTATTACTTTCACATATTTTTGAAGAATAAGCTTTCAATCGCCGCCGCACTCCGCAACAGGTTATGTGCTAAGCAAAACTAGTAGTTGTAGTTTTGTAGCAAAAATTGTAGTTGAAAAACAATACGCGACGCGAGGCTTCGACTCTGCGCCAGTGTGAGTTGAGCCTAATTGGTGAACTTGGAAATATAAGATAGGCATAGCTCAAAGAAGTATTTCGAACTATATTTTTTCGATCCTGGCGGCTCATGATAAGGACCCTGACAGCAAATTCATGTCGACAACTGAAAAGTGCAGTATCTCGATCAACGGTACTGTCAAAATCGTTGGTTACCGACAAAAATGTAATGGTCAACAAGTATTTGAGAACAGAGACTCGACTATATCATGAGCGATTTGCCCACCAGAATAAGCGGCACATTCGAGCCTTTGTGAAACGGGAGTTAGGAATAGAGAATAGATTCCCATAGATGAGACAGTAAGTGAAAGCTGTATATTAGGAAAATCACATAGACAGGTTTGGTATAAGAACAAGAGAGCGTCACAAACCGGTGAGCTCATACATAGCAATGTGTACGGACCATTTCCCAACTCAATCTCAAACTTACAGTATTTCGTACTATTTCGAGATGACTAATCTGGCTATCGTTTATTAACTTTATGAAAAACAGGTCTGAAGTAAATCAGGAACTAAAAGATATGATTGCAGAAGTACGAAATACAGGTCAAACGATCAAAACCCTTCTAAGCGAAAATAATGGAAAATAAGTCACCATATGAGTTACGGCATGGCAAGAAGCCAAATGTAAACTCCCTTAAAGATCATTGGAAGTACGTGTTGTGCTCATATTCCCAAGCAAAAGAGACAGAAACTTTCCAAAAAGGCCTGTAAAGGAAAACTCGTCGGTTACGATAATGACGATGGTTATCTTAGGTACATGGGTAACGGAGAATAATAAACATGGACTGATATGATGTCACATTTGATGAAAAGCCGCTCTACAGAGTAAATACTTAGACTGAAAAGCGTCAGGTAATTCAGGGTATGAAATCAAATGAACTAGAGATAAAAGTAGTATCACCAGCAGCCGTATAATATATCAACGAATTTACCCACAATACGATCTAATCAGCGTTGCTGCAAACGAAACGATGTACAGCATTCCTTTACGGAAAACTAAACGAAGAAATATACATGCAGCAGCCTGAAGACTTCAAAGACGGTTCAAATAGAGTATGCAGACTCCATAAAAGCCTATACGGCCTTAAACAAACGCCCCGTTGTTGGAATGATCGTATCCACGAAGTTGTCTTTGAACTAGACTTCAAGCAAAGTACTTCATATCCGTGTCTTTACACTAAAAAGGTCGGGGATCGCAAAATTTTACTCGCCTTATACATGGATGACGGATTGATACTGATGAGTTCTTGAGAAGCTTAAGGAAAAAGCTAAAAATCACGACAAAACCAGCGTCCTTCTACAAAGAGTTACCCAGTCTCAGTGTGAACAAAGAGACTGCTGTACGACCAGCTCGCAACCAAGAATAAAGGGACGAAACACATTCGCATCCGTCACTTTTCTGTTCGTGAGCTAGTGATGGACGGAACCATTAATGTGAAACGCATAAATACCACACAGCAAGTACCACACATTTGCAATAAAGGTCTTGCCAAGCCCGTGTTTGTTCGCCTACGAGAGGCTTTAAGTGTTCGCTAAAGAAAAGAAAAAAAATAAGTTGAGGAAGTGTTGATAACAAAACTCTTTCTTGAGAATTGGTTTCCTAGCAACTCCATGCTTTTTTACTTTATGTCATTCTATTTCTTATCAATATACATCTAGTTTATTTAGTTTAAGTTTATTTTTTCCTGATATACGTTTATTGCTTTCACGTATTTTTGAAGAATAAGCCTTTAATTTATATTGCGGCGGAATGGAATGGAAGGGAACTGGCGCAAAGGCAGGCGCAGTGCGACGTCAAATGAAGACGAAATACTACAGCCTCAAAGCTAAGTCGCGAGAAAGCTCGCGAAAGCTCGAGCATTCCAGCAACCGCGGGCGCGCCTTCTCGCGCAGCGAGGCAAAACTGACGCTTCCCTTCCACCGCAATGTAAATTGAGCCTAATGGTGATGAAATTTCCTGATGTTGCCACTAATACTATACTCTTAGAATCCTATAATAAATACATTGATGAGGTATAATTTACAATGAGATTTTTGCTTAAATCAGAATGTCGTAATTCTACAGTGCACTCTTAGACAAGATCATACATTGTCAGAGTGCGATCAGTCTGCTATTTCCTTTTCCGACCATCCTCTATAGCCCGCACCTCTGAAATTATTTGCCTTTCTCGTGATAGAATGCCATCTAAAAGTTCAGTAAAGGCATCAAAAGAGAATTTTGTCTCAAATCTCTTTCTCCCAGCTTCTCCCAGCCTCTCTCCTAATTCTGGATTTGTTACTAGTGTCAGCATTGCCATTGCAAATGCTTCACTAGTTGGCTCACAAAGAAAGCCAGTAACATAATTAACCACTGTTTCTGTGGGTCCCCCACTATTCACTGCAATTACAGGTTTACTAAAATACATCGCCTCAAGAGGTACTATACCAAAATGCTCATTTGAAGGTGTGTAGATTAGAGATTTGCAGTTGTAGAGCAGAGAAACCTTTTCAACATCATTTGGAGATTTCACAAAAGTGACTTTATCTTCAATGTCTAATTCATCGGCTAAATCAGTTAATTCTATTAAATGTTCCATGTTCTCTCGGTTAATTGGATCGAATCCACCAGATATAACAAGATGCACATTATTCCAATCTCTCTCACTCAACATTTGTCTCAAATGCTCAAATGATCTCAGAGCCAATTGTAAGTTCTTCTTTCTTTCATATCTATTTATAGATAAGAATACAAATTTGTCATTACCCACTGGCACCACTTCTTTCAACGGCAAGGGTATTATTGTTTTGAAGAACTCCGTGTTTATTGAAGGATAACATACATCAGGGACTTCTTTGATATTTTGAAAAGCATCTTGATAAACCCTGGCTGTATATTTGCTATTCACCAGCACCTTGTCAGCTTGAGCTGTTGTTAGTTCCTCCAACCAATTCAAGGGAGCCCTGTACAGCTTTTTGAATAACCCACCTTCTGTTGACAGTAACTTGTCTGGGTGATGGCAGTAAAATACAACGCGAAAGGGTCTTTTGGCCATTTTCAAGAATGGGATACAGATTGAGATTGAATCACAAAATATCAATGTAGGTTCTTCCACTGGGATAACATGCCAGGATAGGTAAACTGCCGCATATACCATGCGAACGTAGGCACAAGCCGCTTTGAAACTCCCGAATATGGAACGAGGTATCCAGTCGCCGACCACGGTTACAGGAAAAGTACCATCTCTTGTTTCCGCAAAACAATGAGTTGGATCGTGGTGATTCGTGTATAACGCGATTTCATGCCCTTTCCTTTTGAAAGCTAATGCAGCATCAAGTACCAATCGCTCTGCTCCGCCAATCCCTAAATCGGGATGAAGAAATATAATTTTTACCATCCTGGAGCCACGTGGAGGCAGTCGTAACTTAATAATCACAAAACTCAAAAGCAAAATACAACGAACACACGGGTCTCTGACTGACGGACGGTCACTACGAAATTTGAGGAGGTAGTAAAATTTTTCGTTCTTCGGGAAAGGGTTTAAGGCTAATGCATCTAATTGGCTATACTGCCAAATCTAAGATTGTAATTTTTCTTCAATACTTTAATTTTGTCACGTTTTTGCGGGAAGTTCGATTATTATTTCCTTTATGGCGACCACTATGCTTGTGACACTGACAGTTTTATATAAATAATATAAAATATATGGCGATCATCGCCACAGTCAGTTTTTAGTTATGTTCACAAGTTATGTTATTATTACATAAAAGAAAATATAGCATTGTTTAAAGAGCACAGAAAATAAATCTTAAATCTTCGAAATCCTATTTATTATTTAATGACTGAACTCCAGGCGTGTGTCGATCGTGATCGACCCAATCAAAATAGTTTGAACTAGATGTGTGTCGATCGTGTTCGATCGAATCAAAATGATTCGAACAGCACCTGTGACCCTATAACCTGGTTACAATAACCCACAGACGTATATCTAGATGGACGCCGCAAATGTACGTACTTCGCGTGCCCAAAGTAAGTGAAATTCACTTACTTGCCGCTGCTACACTTCAGAACGCGCTCGACCGTTATCGTAGATAAACACCAGCCGAAAACGCAAAAAATGCATAATTGTGCCATTATAAACTGCAAAAGTACCATATAACAATAAACGGGTAAACAGGGACGTTTCCTTCCATGGGAAAGTGATTTTGTAATCAGAAGATGCCTAATTTATTTTAAAAACAATTATTTTGGTTTTGTATGAATTTCGAGAAAACAATTATGCAACCGAGTGTATGCCTCGTGATTTGTAATACATTGCGGCTTTTACTTGGTGCGATATATTTGTGATCCTTTGTGAAAGAGCTCGTCCAGGGAAGTACTGCCACCTTACCTATTTCTGCCGCCAAGCAGTAATGGTCACATTACTGTGTTCCGGTTGTGAAGGGTAAGGGTGCTGGTGAAATTACAGGCACATGAGACTTGTCAACTTATGTCTCAGGGTGACGGGCGCAGTGGCAGTGCCCCCAATATCTTTGTAATTTAAAGCTCTTGGTGGCACTGCAACTGTTATGGGCAGGCGTGTAGCTTACCATCAGGCACACGACTTGTTCGTCCCGTTACTTAATGTCATAAAAAAAAAAAAAAAAAAAAAAATGAATATCGAACAAACGCACTTTTCTATAATACATTCAGTTTCGGGGTACGGCCGCTTGTACATTCTTTTGGCCAAATTTAACATTTAGTGGTGCGTTAGGCAACACTGTTCTCGATTTTAATCGATTTTGAAAACAAAGGGAGGAAAATTATTATGACCTTAGCAATATTATAAAAATATTCTATAACACTTTTGTTATAACGTTTAGTAACGTTTCGTTTTTTTTCAGTTTTGTAGTATCTATTATCAGTAGTATCTGTAAAATCGATAATTTTTGCAGCACGTTGCCTCGAATGTCCGAATATAGTGAGCAAATAATTACATACATCACCGGATA